TGGCCATGCTGGGCGTCACGACCATCCATGCGACGCTCGACGAAGTGGCAGTCCACATGCGCTTTGACACCCATGCCAAGTACCTCGCGTACAATTCCCACATGCACGCCGACCTCCTCGACTGCGCCTCGCTCTACACGCTCGCGTCGTCGCGTACCGAGTACGTGGGAATCAAGTGGGACGCCGTCCCTAGTCCAATTCCAGGCATCGTAAAACCCCGGGACGCTGTCGGTGTTGAGGTACTCCATCGGTTGCGCTCACGTTGACTCATACTTCGTGTGTAGTGCTTTCGTCCGTTCACCCAGCTTGGAATCTCAGGCATAGCTCGCAGCTTTCAGTCTGTCGAAGTCGCGTGCTGCCCTGACCTGAGCGAGACGCTTGGACTCGCTCGAATGGAGACTAGTTTGAGCGGCTACATCTTTCGAGAAACGCTCCGCCGCGGCGAGCTCCAAGTCATGTACCTCGTCACGGCCGACTCGACAGGGATGGTACCAGCTTGGCTTGTCAAAATTGCCGTGCGCAACCGCGTGAAATGCATCACTGCATTCGAAACCTTCTTTCGACAGCGCCGAGTTGGTCGCATGAATCTTCGACCTGGAAGAAATGACCTGTCGCTGACCAACCCAGATATCTGCACGCTCTGTTGCACGAAACTTCCACGGCTTCAAGAGCGTGTCAGCTGCTCTGCATGTGGGGAGGTAGGCTTGTTTGTCTTCCTCAAACGCTCAAGTGATTCGTCCCGTAGGTCACATGCTCTCACTGCCAAAAGGTTCTCCTTGAAAGGGGACGCAAGATCCGAGTGTGTAATTTATGTTCAGCGCTGCCGACCAGCCGGACGTCTACATCCAAGTCAGGCACTACATCTTCAATGACAATGGAGGATGACGCTCTGGACAACTATGAAGCAGTGCGATCGCTTCCCCGACGTGACTCCGCGCCTGTTCCATCTGTGTCCCCAGCCCCCCTTCGCCCAGTGTCTTCCTCCGAACCTCCCCTCATTCACCTGTACACACCGCCTCCTGAGCCTCGAAAACCAGCCACTGACCGTGTCCAGCAGCTCTTTGATCAACTGAAAGCTCTCGACTTTGACGACGCAGTTCTGTCCAAAGTGGAGGCGAAACACATAGATCAATCGTAATCCCGTTGATGTCCATTGAGTACACTAAATGTGGAATTCAGTACTCGTACAGTAAGTACTATTCGGTACTCCAAGTACTCATTGGTACTTGCAAGTACTCCCTCGCATAGCCACACATTCCACACGCTTAGGATAGATCAATGATGACTTTAAATTACATTTCTAGCTATGCGACGACAGCAAGAACGACAAGAGGGGATTACATGACGATCGCAGTCGTTGAAATGGCATCCCATTCGGAATCCCTCTCCAATTCCAATGACTTTGACCGCTGACTTAAAGCCAAGGGGGGTTTGAAAGCGTCGTTCGACGACATGTCCTGCTGTCGGAGGAGTTCGTCCGCGTGCTCGTAGATTGCTCTGCATTGTGAGCTTCCAAGGGGCGACCGAGACATTTGAGTCAAGTTGAGAGAAAATCTCGGACGCGACGACCCGACATTCATGAATGAAATTGAGGGCTGCATTGACCTTGGAGACCGTGACGATAAGGTAGACGGCACTAGAAGTCACGAGTAAGCTCTGAAGTATCAGGCGACTTGACCAACCAAAGAACGCACCCATGTCACCCGAAGGCAGCATCGATTCATGCAATGTGCTGGTGCGCGGCGGGGGCGCTTCGGGGGATGACGGAGTTTGTGCGAGGGGGTTGTGCGAGCAAGCTGCGCATACCGAGACGTCAATATCATGTAGCCGCCAAGTATGCTGGCATGTCCGACAGACAACTTGGCCACAGACCCTGCAATTACACTTGGATCGAAATGTTGAAAAGCGTTGTCGACAGAGATAGCAGACTCGACGAGCTGTGGCAGGCACAAGGGCGGCTCTAGGAAGGAGCTGGGCATGTTTGGCAAGTCGACGGTGGCGAAATCGACCGTCCCATTGCGCAATCGACAGGAGTCGTCGTTTCACAGCTTGCTTGAAAGCCCATTGTGGCAAGGCTCCTCTTGGATGTGCTTGAACCAACACAGTTACGTGGAGCCACCCAGGACGGTCAGCGATTTCACGGAAGGTGCAGCCCAACATCGAGACTTGCATGCGCACAACATCGAGCACGTTTTGCATGTCTGGACACACAGTGGGCAGGTCAATGGAGCGCATAGTATATGCCCAGCCACGACCACCAGTGGCAAAAGAGAAACGTCGGTGGCACTACTTCAGTGATGAGTAGAGTACCTAGCAGGGGGGCGGCCACATACCTCCAACGTACAGGCATCGCGTAGCTTGGACAGTGGAGTGAGTCTCTGTAGTGCGTGCCACTTGATGCCAACGTAGTGATCAAGCTGTGCTCGTCCAAGCGAGTAGATTGACGCGTAGTCCACAACGCCTGGGGCAAATGCTGCACAGAAAGCCTTGTAGTCATCGTCGTCTGTCATGTGAAACATATCTTGGACTTCATCCAAGCTAGCAAAAAGCTGTGTGACGGCCATGAGCGAGACTGTTCCTGACGGTGCGGCGAAATCATGGCCAGTGTAAATGTGCAAGCCGTCGGTTGATTTCTCCAGCGACCAGTGCATCGTTACATCTGGGGATTTCAAGTTGGCAATGCTGTGAAAGTCCGTGAGCTGGGTTTGGGCTGCCTGCAGGAAGCTGTGACTTTCATCTGAAGACAAGGGCGGGCATTCAAAGTACTGGGGAGGCAGAGGCAGCGATAGCTTCTTTGAGCGACGCTGCATTTTCACGACTGCAAATTGTGTTCAGGCGGTCAACAACGAGCACTCCTAGAGTATACAACTTTCAAGTCTAAATAGGATCCAAAGTACTCAATTTGGCATTTATAGCTTCAATTGTGGTTAAGTTTGCTTACTTTTTGTATCTTTAAGCCTGCTGGACGATCGACAGCGCTGCTGGGTGTGCATTGCATGTTGTCAATCTTTCCTCTCGGGCTAGCATCATCCAGAAGGGGGTTGTTTCGTTGTTGTAACAAGTCACGGGGGCTCTAGATTCGATTCGCAATGGATGTCGTAGGCACTCTGAACTCTGACGAAAGATTGACGAGCAGCGAGGCAGGAGAATTATTGTAGGCAGTGCAAGCTACCTCGACGTTGCTTGTGTTTTTTACTATTGTAGGGGCAAATTGACATCGGGCAGCTGACAGAAAATCCAACATTAAATTGTCATTTTGAACACTTTCGAGCGTGAAATTCGGAGATATCATAGAACATAATTTCATCTATGTTTAGCAAAGGCTTTCAATGAATAAGATGTTTCTTTGAAGAATTGCCACAGTTAAAGCACGGTGTCGGGCAGCATCGCCGCTATCAAATGTATCGATCGTTCCACTGTCACCCAGGTGAATGTCACGCGACCAATAATAATACTCTAGGTTAAATAAGTGTGGTAAATCAATATGAGGATTAAAACGCGTTTTTCTCGTATCACACAAAACATTTCAACCAATGGAATTACTAGGATTATACCCTAATCGCTACTAGAGGAAGTTGAAAAATATCCCAAAAAATTAACCTGTATTTTAATGCACATGCCATACAAAAGTAGAGATGCCATGCATTTTTTCATCTTCTAAATTGTTTCAATTTTTATTATTTTCTCGAATCATTTAAATCGGACATGTGGTTCTCGAGATATGGGCACCAAACCTCGTGCCCGATCTCAATTCGCCCCTACAATAGTAATTCGACTGATTGGGACACGCCTTGGTCTTGTGTTGCACATCGTGCACCCTTTGCTGACTGCCCTGCATCCGCATTGTGAACATGGAACTGTCGTGAGACGCAGATCCTCGAGCTCAAGACAGGAAGATCACCAGCAGAGACGAGCGCAAATGCTGCTGTCACAACCTTGGGTTGACGAGAAGATTTGATACATTTTTGAGCTCCAAATAACGTAAATCATCATGAGTGAGCACAAGTTTGGAACCGAAAAGTTCCAGCGCAAGTATTTCAATAAGTTTTGCGAGTTTTTTTCTAGTTCAAGTCGCAAACGAAAGATTGAATTTGGAATTCAAAGAACAGACAAAAAGTAAGCGATTTTAGTCTCCATTACGACTCCTTAATGATGTCCAAAGTTTCATTTTGCTTACTTTTTGGGAATTGTGAGTGAGCACACAATTTAATCTTGAATAATGTATCATAATCAAGGTGAGTTCTTAAGGTTTAGGGTATAAATATTCAAAGGAAGCATTAAATTTGAGAGATATAAGTTTTGCGGATAAGACAAGCAACAGTTCAGATTTTCGTTTTCAGTCTGCTGCATTCAAGATGAAGAACCGGTAAGACAGACAAGGAAGACAAGCACGTGGTATGTATTCCTACGTTATCGCTACTGTTTTACAATTCAATGACCTCATAGTCGTCGTTCCAAAGCTCGTGAAGTTCAGCTGCGTTGTTGCCGGCTTCCGAATAAATAAAAACTTTGAAATATGGAGGTTCTTCTCCTTAATTTCTACTGGTGCTCACTCACGATGCCATGCTCACTCATGATGATTTACGTTTGGCCTTGTACTCTTCTGTATCAGTCACTCATTTCACAGCATCCTCAATATGAATGCAGCTCACGGTGAGGACAATAACGTTTTGCCGAGCAAACGATTTTACCATGTAGCATCACATACAGGGAACGACGGAAAGTAATCCTAAGTGGTACTCCAAAATACAACGATTCATCGTTTCTAATTGGATAGTTTTAGAAAAAATGTCGTCCAATCAAATCAACGCAGGCGATAATAATATTCATATTTTTATTATATTATCAAGTGTATTTTAATATGGAGTGGCAGGAAACACAACTTGACTCGATATGCTTACAAAATGCTGCAATGTATGCAATTTCAGAAATGTCCAATCGAAGATGTATTTCAAATTGTATTGACCGGTATGATGGAGACAGTAGAATGATAAGCGTTTGACGCGGTGGCGCAGCGGTTATGTGCGACGGCATCCATGATGATTGAGGAAGGGGCCCGGGTTCGAGACCCGGGCAGCGTCAAACTTTTTCCATTTTTTAATTCAATTATACTATAAATATTGTAATAAATTGCATACATTTATTCAATCACTGAAAATATTTTTTAATAATATTTTTCAACTCATATCAACACCGACTGGCTTTGGCAACGCCTTGGTGAAACTTGCGCGCACCTCGCTCTCGGTTATAAGTTCCCATGCCATGATGGCTCGATTTATCATCACAAGGCGCTTGTCAGCACAGGTAAGACACACCTCCGATTCAGCTAAGAATAGATCACGCAGGTGCTGCTTAAACGGTCCCATGATTGAAACGTCCAAGGGCTGACAGTGGCTTGTACTGTTCGGGGGGAGAGCAGCAAGATGGCATCCCATCTCTTCTTGTACAATTCGGTATGATGCATCACTGACATGGCTGTCAAAGTTATCCACGAGTAGGACGGACGGACCATTCACCGCGGGTGCAAACACATTCCAAAGGTACATTTCCCACACCTTTCGGTTCATCCAGCCTCGTTCCTGGACAGCGTAATAGTGTCCTCTAGGATACCGATCAAGCTCCTTCATATCAATTGTACCTCCAGGAGCCCCCTTGATGACAAACAGAATTGGCAGCTTCACACCATCGGCTCGAACAGTTAGCACCGCCGTCATGCGGTATGCATGTTTGTCTCCAGTCGATGTCTTCGATGATCCCCCGCGAATGGCCCATATGATCTTCGGTGACATATCATAGTACATTCCGGTTTCATCCACGTTGTAGATGGAGTCATCGTCAAATCCAAGATATTCCCGGTGGAAGGCAGCGCCAAACTCAGCACGAAGAGCATCCAAGTCAGCTTGCGGCATTTTGGTGAACGTGCTGATCTGACGACTGAATCCATGTCGATGGGAGAATCTTTCAAGGAGCCGAAGAAGAGACTTGTACGCTGTCTTGTTGGCTTGCTTGCTTTCAATGTAAGCGGCATACCATTCAGGTACGTGTTGCTTGAGAAATTGAATCATGTGGCTTGCTGATAGTGGCTTCTCTTCGGAGCGCAAGATTGTCATGTGCTCAACGAGCTCCGCGACACATGGAATGATCTCCTTTCGACCGATATTTCCGGTCTTCTTTCGTTTCTGTGATCCTTTATAGCCAAGTATGCGCTCAGGATGCGCAATCCATTTCTGCAGCGTATTGCGTTTGATGCACATGGCCTCGGCAACAGATCGCAGTGTTTCGCCAGCCTGTACTCGGCCGATTGCAGTCTTCTTCTCAATTATTGTGTGCTGGTGTCGGTGAACCATCGCTTGCATCGCAAAATGAAATACAGTACAGTCACTTGGTGATTAATTTTTTAAAATTGAGTCTTTCAAATCACTTTCCCCGCGAAAATATTATCCACCAATCAAATTTGTCGAATGCTAAGTACTATATTTCATTGGATAAAATATTCGACTTTGATCAAAAGTACCACTTAGGATTACTTTCCGTCGTTCCCTGTAACGAATTTATCGCCTCCCACAGTTTCACAATTCCTTGGGAGCCTCTCTCAGCCATGACAAAGCATTTCCCCTTGGAAATGTCCCCTTAATGCATTGTTCTTTGAGCTCTCCTGCGTAGTATCGACAAGTCTTTGGGCTTTTGCGACTTCGATGAGTTTGTGGGGGGGGGCAGCTCAGATGGTAATAGACCCAATAAACAAAAACGAGTTTTTCATTCAAAGAAAGAGTTATAGGTGAGACATATCCACTGTCTCGGTTACAACCAAATTTTCATTGAAAAACTGATCTGTGTAACAAAATCGGTGTTTGTGAGCAAAAACCAAGTTATCTCATAATGAAGTTGATAGATCGTAGGTGTCGATTTTTGAAATAAAGTCGACCAAAATGGAATGTATCAACGACATTTTTCGACAATGCTTGTGTCTCGTATATGAGGACACGGAAAACAAAAAGTACCTTAGCCACCTTTTGCATTTTTCGACAAAATGGCCTTCAAAGTCGATGCATGATTTTCAGTGGTGATTTTTCCGTTTGACGAAAATCGAAAAAAACAGTTTGAATAAAAAACAGTGATCTGTTGCAATCTGATGGAGTCTGGTGAGCCCACTGATGCTTTTCCCACGAGTCCAGCACTCGTTGAAACTGCAGCTGAAAGAGCGTCGGCCCTTGCGGCGACAACATGTTGTCACCGAAGCTGTTTGATAGACAAAGAGCAGCACATCTTACATTTCTTGGAGTCCTTGCGGTCCTTCAACAAGGCACAACTCAGCGCCTGCTTGTATACAGTGAAAGACGGAATGGTACGCCCTCGAAGATAATAATGGAGATTCAGCCAATGAAAACATTTTAAAAATTAGTCGTCTATGATTGGCTAAATTTTTATTCGCGCCAGAAATTGAAATTAAAAACGAGCGTTTCGAACTTTGAATCAATGGCGACACCCCCCACGACAGCGAAGCAATCGTACACAATGAAGACGAAGAAGGAAACCGTGCTCAAGATTCTGGAGTCGTCGATCGCACAAGTCCATAGGGACACCAAGACACCACGACGAACGTAGTACGGTTGCAATGTGCCAAGCCATGGATGCCAATATCGATGGTAAAAGAAAACGCGGAAAAGGCGCCAGAGAAATCAAATTCAGGCTTATGGACACGATAGAAACCACTTCAGAGAAATCAAAACCAGTCTTATTGACACGATAGAAATCAAAATCAGTCTTAATGCCACCATAGAAATCAATTTCAGTCTAATTGACTTGCTCGAAATCAAAAACAGTCTTATTGCCAAAACATTGTTTTAAACTGTTGAAAAAAACATCAACGCACTTTTCGATTCTGTTTTTCTATGTCGTTGAGTATGAATTCATTGATCAATACAGTATCAAACGAAATTCTCTTTTTGGAAATACATAATCTCAAAATGACATTTTTGGTCGAAAATTGGGATCCATCGTCTTCAAGCCTTCATAACTTTGGACTCGAGCGTCATTTACGAGATGTTAAGGTGTCAAAATGTAGCTCGAAGACTCTGCTTTGTGATGCAATAGCTAACTCAAACGTTACACGATGGTTGATTAGCCACTTTTTGTTTTCTGTGTCCTCATATATCCACACCACTGTTCGATGACACAGAGAAAAATATAGGATAACTTAGATCAAAATTTGATCTCGGTGGTTAGCTGAATGATTTCATCATGGAGCTAACCATTTTGCGCATGGAAATAGTTGTAACTCGTGGTGGCTCTAAGGTTAGTGTAGCCTTCGCTGTATTGCTTCACCAGAACTACTAATGTTAACGTCGTACAGAAGATTCAACACGATTCATGCTGTTTCGGTGGTGTCGATTCCAGCGCCAGTGTGAATTCACTGCATCATCTCTTCGTGCGCTCAAGTGGGAGTCGATGCATATTCTGTGAAACGACAGCCAATCCTTGTCATCCAACTGACGGTTCTAGGTACCATATGTCAAAATAGTTGAACCTCCCCATCTCAAAATTTTGAGCAGGTGTATCACAAAAACGACTGATATCTACAAATAGGTTTACTCATTCGCAATTCGATGTGCTTCTCACATTAACATAATTTATTTCTCAAAAATACAGGTTTTGAAAGAATGAAGTGATGTCAAAAATATGAAGTGATTTTTTCCATATAATGTGTGAATACGATAAAAACTTTGTCTTTGACGTATTCTTTCGACATTCGAGAAATATCTGCTTTTGAATATTGGGTCTAATGGGGTCTGGTCGCCGAACATTCCATCCATGCTTCAGGGACGGATTCAGGCTTCTGATTGGTCAATCCCATAAATTTCCGGATAATGGGGTCGTTCATGCATTTCGGATAAACTCAGGCAGGAACGATCCATGTCTGGCTGAACATCCTGCTTCACATTGTCAGACACATTTTCAAGAAAAACGAAAAAAGGCACTCTTTTAAGGGAACCCCCGGGACTGTTTTAAACCCTGATACAAATTCTTAGTCTAGACGTGTTCAAATGTTGACACAACTCTAATCGAACCCCCATAATTTTTTCCTAGACTTTTTAAATTTAGAAAATTATTTTAAATTCACAGTGACTTTGAAATTTGGCGAAGTATATCCGGAAGACCTAAGGTAAGCCACAGGGTTGCGCGCGCAGCGCGCGGGGTTCAAGGTGGTTTGGGGTCAGGCCTCTTTCATTTTCCTTGTAAATCATAATAAGCTATAAAAGCGGTGAAAGCGCTCCTTGGAGTCAGCAGCAGAGCATTCCTTCGTTATACTAGGAAATTGTAACGAATGTTTTGAACACGTCTAGACTAAGAATTTGTATCAGGGTTTAAAACAGTCCCGGGGGTTCCCTTAAGGGCGTGTTCGGTCCGTAACAGGACTGGGACTCAAAAATCCAGAATATATTAATCTGGATTAATCTAAGGAGACTTGAATGGAAACCAAGCGATTTGCACACCGAACACGATTTTGATAACACTGTACAAACTTATATTCCCCATGACCACAAAGAAGGATGACACTGTCTGCAGCCTGGACACGTGGCCTAGAAGTCGAGTTCATATCTGCGCTGTGCGATGCAACAAAAAACCCACGTTTTGTTGCATCGACAGGGAAGAACCTACGTGCTGCTGGATGGCAGAGTGTCCTCGCAAAGATGGTTCAAAAGGAGGCATCTATCAAAACGGTTGAGCAGCTGAAATCGAAGTGGAAGCGGCTGAAGGCAGATTACGCAGACTACCACTTTCTTGTGGGTCTCTTTGGATTTGGTGCAGGTTTCGATGGCGCAAAATGGCAGGAGCTAGACGCTTGTCGAAATGGTATGCTGTCCATCATTTACCATTGTACTATCTTCTCCTTAGCGACAAGTCGACTTTCTCGTTTCCGTAACGACCCGTATATACATTACGACATTATGGCCATGACCTTGGGGGACACAATGGCAACAAGGGAAGGCCTCAGCACGCTCAGCGACGTGCTCGAGGCAACAGGTATGACATATTGAGAGAAGCATTGACTATATACAAACTATTGATGAGATGACAAA